TCTTGAGCGAGTATTGCACATTCGTTTGTTATTATGTCTCGTGCAAAAAAGTTAGTAAAGTTGGCTTTAGATAAAGATAACATTGAAAACGAGGATCCGAAAGAGAGTGAGGTTCGAGTAAACAAACGCTTGGTTTTATAATCTCTAGATGTATTTGTATTTTAGAACACCTCTAAACCAAAGAAAACGTATGCTGAACTTCAAAATTGCCAGTTGGTACCTAACGTAATATTACAAGAAGTAAGTCTAAATGAATCTGTCATGATTCACGACAAATAATATTGTCATTTATTTGAATTTTTATTATTTTAGTATTCTACGAATCAACCCTTTTTATTGGACTTAGAGGTAGATTTTTCGAAATACAATGATCCCATTTTTGGATTAGAGGCACATAACGTAAGTTGATTTAACTTTAAATAACAATTATGTACTTATTTTTATATTAGAACTCAACAACGCTAGATTTACCAGGATGCTCAGGGAATACTGCAGTGTCAGAGATTAGTAATGGACATGTTGTGACTCCCTTGGACGACCAGCAAGCGGAGGAGGTGACCAGTTAATATCAGAATCTTCCCATATTACACTCATTTGCGTTCTAGATTAATAATGATGCAGCCATTTTTGACTCAGATGATTCCATTAATGATAAAGATTACACACCTTCAGGTGATGATTCTAGTTCACCAGAAAACACAAGCTCTGAAATCGAAGTGAACCCTAATAATGATGTAGAAAAACGGATTATCGCTGAAGCTCAAGATGAAAAGAAAAAACCACGTAAAATAATCGCTAGGCCCGAAACTTGGAAAAGGAACGTGAAAAAAATGAGGGTAAATTCAGGTTTGCCCTATGTGTCTGAAGGTAATAGGGAGATTCCTGGAAAACGTTTAAAACCTCCTTGTACAACAAAATGCAGGTCAGCGTGTACTACTAAATTTACCGATGCTGATAGACTAACTATTCACACTTGTTTTTGGAAACAAGGAGATAATGCTCTTCAAAGACAATTTGTAAGTAGTCACATGGAAACTCTAAAAGTAAAATACCGTCGAGCCATTGAGGGAAGTAATCGCAGTGAAAATTTGTGTTATTACTTGACGCTGCGAGGAATTAAAATACAAGTGTGTAAAACATTTTTCATGAACACCCTGGACATTGGTGATAAGTTTATAAGGACAACATGGAAAAAATCGAATGGTAATGCTCTGATAGAAAGAGATCGAAGAGGAAACTTCAATAAGAGGGAAACAATCAATACTTCGATTAAAGAAAAAATTGTTGCTCACATCAACTCTTTTGAACGAATAGAATCTCATTATCTCAGAGCACAGACGACACGTGAGTACATAGACGGATCTTTAACGATAGCGCAAATGTATCGATACTATAAATCCGAGCAAGAGGCTGAAGGGTTGCCAGTTGCCAAAAAATGTACCTATGAACACATTTTTAAAACCCAATTTAACATATCATTTTTCCAACCTAAAAAGGACCAATGTGCAATTTGCGAAACCTTTAAAAATTCTGATACAGACGAAAGATTGTCGCTTCAGAAAGGATACGAACGGCACATTAACAACAAAATCAAGAGTAGAGAAGAAAAGGCTCGAGACGTCGAGAAAGGAAAACAAGATTCTTCCTTTAAAATAGCCTGTTTTGACTTACAAGCGGTTTTACCGACGCCTTGTGGAGATGTTTCCACATTTTATTACAAATGCCGTTTAAATTGTTTGAACTTCACAGTTTTTGAAATACCATCGAAAAGAGGGTTTTGTTACTTTTGGCATGAGGCGATTGCTAATAGAGGTGCTAATGAAATAGCAACTTGTATATTACATTATTTAAAAACGGAGTGCAAAGGAAAAGATGTCATCTTCTATTCCGACAACTGCGTAGGGCAAAATAAGAACAAAATGATTGTTTCTATGTATCTCTGCGCAGTTAACAAATTTGATGTCAAAAGCATTACACATAAATTCCTTACGGTAGGCCATACCCAAAATGAAGGAGACTCAATGCACGCCAGTATTGAGCGCCAGAAGCGTAGAGTACTAAGAAGTGGCCCTATTTATGTACCGTCACAATGGGCTCCAATTATCAGAGCGGCCAAGAAAGAAGGTACACCCTACATCGTGAATGAACTTGCCACAGAAGATTTTCTGGATTTTAAAAAATTTAGCGACACAATTGGGAAACATTTTTCAATTAATTCCAAACAAGAAAAGGTTGTGTGGAATGAGATTCAAGTTCTACGCGTAGAAAAAAATTATCCAACGTCGTTTTTTTATAAAACTGACTTTGACTTCCTTGAATATGAACAAATTAACATCCAGGAAAAACTAAGGCGTTGCATTGACATTAGCGCATGTTATCCCGAAAAGGCCTTTGTAAAAGCCCCATCGATATCTCAAAAAACTAAAGAACATCTTGCTTATTTATGTGCAAAAAATGCTATTAAAAAAGTGTACCATGGGTTCTATAATAACATAATTGGTGAAAAGTAATCGTTTAACTTTTTTAGAGTATAATGAACGTGCTTTTATATACTTTTATATATTTTTTACTTTTGAATAAAAAAAATATTTCAGTTAGTAATTTACTGCAATAACGCCACAACTACTAGAAAACTATTTGGTTTTATGCACGGGTGGTTCAAAAGTGGTGGACGCAATATGGCCACAACTAACAAAATTATACTTTTAATTAATCCATTGATAATGGTATAAATTAAAATCAAAGTATCACATTAAATAATCAATGTATGACAAGGCGCACAAAAATCGATAGTAATATGCAATTGTTATGGTTGGATATCTAAACAGCACTAACTTTATTTGCACGTACTCTAACATTGTTGTGTTGGCACTTGCGGCACTATTGAACTAGATGTGCGATATGTCGATATCTGCCATTTATGGTTTTTAAGTTATTTTGACTTTAAGAAAGAAAATGGCGGATGCAGATGGTACCTTGATAATTGATTACTTGAAAACGGTGGCAACCTATTTTTATCAGTGCATATAGAATGAATACAGCTTTCTTTTAGTGTACTTAAAAAAAGTTAAGTTGCGTAAGACCGCCCCTATGGAGATCCAAATTTACGAAACTTCAAAGACTAAAAACTCAGTTTTTTTAAATGGAATCACCATTTTCTTAATATTGCATGAGATAAAGAATCGAAATGGGCATATTTTGACAATACATGTTCCTATAACTATCTTTAACAGTTTCTGATTTATTCCCATTTTATTGAATTGACACTATTTTTTTCGAATTTTCTTTTTAGTAGTCGGCCATGATTTTATAACAATTGAATTTTAAACAGTGACACTAATCCGTCACCTACTGTTATAGGTTAACATAAGTTTTTCAAAAATCGAAAAATAACTCGCAGTGGTTTCACCTATTTTGGAATTTAATTGTTATTTATGGTGAAATGGGCAGAATCGCGGCACATGCTTGCCGTACATTCATTCGAACACTGGAATGAAATTGTATGAATTTTGGAAATGTTGTATCCCCAAATGCACTACAAACCGTTGAAGCACAAGTGATACAAAGCACAAGAGAATATTTAAGAAAATGAATTGAATTGCAAATGCCAGATTAACAAAATAAATCCAATGTAAAATATAAAAAACTTCGTTGAAACATTTTTTGTATGGAATTGTTGCTAAAACAGATATCGCATTATCTCTCTGAATTTTCAGACTTATATGTTGTTTAAGAAATTCAGTTGAATGACTCTGTCTAGATTTCTCAAAAATTTTCCGTCCTATATCCTTAATAAATGACTTATTTATTAATGAATTATTTAGAGACTAGAATCAATGATATTAAAGTATCCTTTCCTTGATTTGTTTAAAATTCGATTGTTATAAAATCATGGCCAACTACTAAAATGAAAATGCGAAAAAAAAATGGCATCAATTCAATGAAATGGGAATAAATCAGAAAATGTTAAAGATAGCTATAGGAACATGTAATATCAAAATATTCCAATTTCGATTCTCTATCTCATGCAATAGTAAGAACATGGTCATTCCATTAAAAAAAACTGAGTTTTTGGACTTTGAAGTTTCTTAAATTTGGATCTCCATAGGTGCGGTTGTATGCAACCTACACTAAAAGAAAGCCCCATTCATTCTCTATGCACTGATAAAAATGGGTTGCCATGACTATAACCGTTTTCAAGTAATCAAGGTACCATTTGCATCCGCCATTTTTTTTCATAAAGTCAAAATAACTTAAAAACCATAAATGGCAGATATGGACATGTGAGTATCAAAAGAATTGAAATTTTACGTAGAATCCAAAAATGCAATAAAGAATAGGGGTTGCCATTTAATATAACGAAGTTACTATCTACTTCCGGTGTTTCCGGAAGTGTGGCCATTTTGAAAATATTTTACATCGATTCGCTCTTCAGAGTAACTCCTAAGTACAAATTTTCAACAACCTACTTATTTTACTTTCCCAGAAACGTTTAACTAAAGCTCCCAAAAAAACACCCTGTATATAACAAGATTTGTATAACACAAATATATCTTTCATTTTTATCATTATCACACACTGATAATAATTTGTCATCAAATTTACATTATTCGCAAGCTTAAACATTTAGTAACAATCCCTCATTAACATATTCAAATAATTAAAAACATACCTACTCTTTTAAAGACTGGAAATTTTTATCGATAGGTAATATCTCTATACAGCATTGTTGAACCAATTAAATCTCAAAATTTTTATTTCACCATTTATGAAAAATCTTGTGAAAAATGAATATTCCACCTTGCAACAGAACTGCAGTCTCCTTTGCTCTAGGTAGAATTACAGTTTTATGGTCACAACATTAATGATACTGCTATAGCATTAGGGGCCCAACATACCTTTCTCAACTGCATTCTAGCACGCTTGCCCAATGCCTACTTTCCTATTTATCTAATTTAAAGTCAATAATTCGCGCAATAATTAGCAATTAAAAGAATACACAAATCTTTATCTATAATAGTTAATGAAGGTCAAGTAGTTAAACTTGGACATAAACACGATAACAAGTCACAATGTTTATTAGCTCGTAACTTAAAAGTCTAAAGTAATAAACTTACCTTCATCGATTAAAGCAATTGTTCCGATAATTTTAACTTGGAGAATCTCTCCTCGCTTGGCTATTCTGTAACCGATTTCGATGACATCGATAGGATCATTGTCACCTTTTGCACCAGTGCCATCATCCAGATGATCGGGATTTTCCCACGTTTGCGGTAAGGCCCCGTAGTTCCATATGTATCCGTGGTGAGGAAAACAATTGGACACAAATCGTGGTTTACCCTTTTTTATGTCTTGCTTAATTGGATTTAGGACTTCCTTCATTGTAATCTAGGAGAGCAAAGTGTAATGGAAACTTTAAACATGGAACATTAGATTTACCTCCATTTTCGCGTTTGTCCATCGAGGAACTTCTACCACCATATTGTATAAATTTTTCTCTTGATCTGAGAATAATGGAATGTCGTGTAAGGGCGAAATTGGTACATTATTGTCGGCTGTAATGTAGAAACATGGAAAAAGCACTTTTAGGTTATAGTAAATAACTTACTTATGTACACCCTGTAATCTTGAGAGAAAGGTGAACCTCGTTCTACAATTCCGTAAGACATTGCCACCTGCGACTGTCGATTGAACGTTGCCTGAGTAAATGAGTTTAGAAATGCTTTCCCTGTGCGGGATTTACGGACTACGTTGCCAAGCAAAAAAGTTTTCAAAACGTGGTAAATCATTATACGGCATGCGTCGCACCATCTGGCGTATATACAGTATGACTAGCAAAAAGAAATCCAACGGTTACAAATGCGACACGAAGATGTCAGCATCCTACAACCTTCCAATTTAATTAATTATCACATTTTTAGTAAAGAAATAATTTAAATTCTAATAAAGTCGTGATTATTTCGTCCGTAATGATAAACGTGGATTTTACACTTCTGAGATAAACATTCAAGGCCTTCGATTTCGATAAGATTCCGAGGAGTGCATATCGTGACATTGGTCCTACTTGTGTCGATTGCCTGGCTTATCAATGCCAATATTCAACACTATTTATTTATTGAAGCGCTTACCTACCTTTATGTAAGAACAGAACTACAACGTTAGAAAACTGTCTCCAATAATATAAACTGACTGCTTTGCCTTTATGTAGCTACTACCTATACATTTAAAAATAATAAAAAAAAGGCTAAGTTACATACGTAGGTGCCTAATTAATTATTCATTCTCCAGCAATTCAACCTAAACAGTTCTCATCTCGTACCACTAAAGGTTGCCGTACATTCCGTTCCGTCATGTCGACGCCGACGGTTCGCGCTAAAGGTGCAGAGCGACTAACAAGTTACTTGCGGCAATCTCGCGTGAGCAACTTCCACATTTACACTATGAGCAGTAAAGTGTCGCCAAAAACTGTCAAGTGAGCCGCCATTGCTGACGCAATTTCTCACAAAACTGTTTATACTAGCAGCGCTTCTAACTTCCGCAAAATATGCTGTCAGTTTCATATCTAGCAACTGTTTTCGAGTACTTATCTCGCATTATGGCGCGAATAGGACATCGTCTTGTTACCGCGGCTGTAGTAGTTTTAGGCAATAATGTGAAAAACAAAAGAAATCGCAAGTGTTGGATGAGAGAATGGATCTCGAAGAGAGAAAAGTATGGGGCCTACCATAAATTAATTGATGACCTGAAGATCGAAGAATCCCAACAATTTATAGCCACAGTAAATTCTTTAATATTTTATACAGGGTCATTCTTGACGGGTGTCAGTTAAAAAGATGTGGAGAACCTTTTGAAAATGAACATGATGAATTGAACTAAAATGTTATCAAGATGGCGCCACTTCCGGAAATACTGGAAGAAGCTATCAACTTTGTTATTTTAAATAGGGACCCCCTATTTTTTCTACATTTAGGATTTTACGTCGAATTTGGAGTACATCCATACATACCACATAGTTGACCCTTTGCTCCAAGGGCTTCGGCGATATTCAAGTTTTTATGTCAAAAATTGAATTTGCATGAGTAATTTTAAAAATTTATTATTTGAAATTATTTGAGATATTGCAAAACAGTTTTCACTGCTTTATTAGGGAAAGATGGAATTTTCTTATGGTATGCGTAACCGTATAAAAAAGTGAGACTGTCTTCATTTTGTCAAAGCTCTCAACTTTTAAATTTTTAAATATCCGTAACACCGTTTTTTTAGATGGCACCCCCTATTTTTTTCTTCACTGCGGTTTTGCTTTTTCCGAGACCTTTAATTTGATACAAAATGTCAAAGGCTGCTTTAAACGGTTTCCGAGATATTCCATGTTATTATCGCCGCCACAAGAGAAGAGCCCTGCTTATTTATACAAAATCGAAGAAAACGAAGAGCAAAAGAGGTTATGGAAAATTTGAAAATAATTAGGAGTATTACGACGTTGGTCAAATCAGCATCAAATATGCATGTTAAACTTGACAAGCGTTATAGGCTATCTCTTTTCATTACATTTAGCTTTTCAAAAGCGCACGTCTATTATATCCCAAGAACTTGTTTCGTTCTCTGTCCTTTTTTGGGTTGCGCAAATTTTTGAGATGTAAGTATCAACACCTTGGATTTATGCATTCGTACATTGATGACGCAGGGCTCTTCTCTTTTGGCGGCGATAATAGTCACTTCTTGTAGCAAATTGAAAAAAAAATTAAGTCGATTGATGTTATGTTGTTTTTACGAGTGTTTTTTATTATGATAACGTCTAAACGTCAAATTTTCGCTTCTTGAACAGTTTTCAACTTTTATTTCTCGTCAATAATGGCTCGTTTGGGTTACACTAATGAAGATTTTTTGAATTTAATATTAATACACGTTGAATGTAGGTAATCGAATAAAGGCCAGTATTTGTCGTCTTGTTTCGGAAAGATAACCTGACAAGGCGCGGCCCACAGAGAGGCTACAATTTGCAAATTATTACAAAAATTGCAGGAATAACGGTATGTTGCAAACAAAAATACAAAAAAGAAAGCCTGTGGTAGACTCTGAAGAGCAAGAAATAACTATTACTGGCTTATTTTACTGCAAATCCAACTGCATCGCTTAATGATATTCAAAGAGACTTAATTTTTTTTTTCAATTTGTTACAAGAAGTAGGTAATTAAAACATGGAATATCTCGGAAATCGCTTGAAGCAGCCTTGGACATGTTGTATCAAGTTAAAGGTTTCGGAAAAAGGAAAACAACAGTGAAGAAAAAGGGGGGGGGGTGCCAATTGAAAAAATGGTGATACTGATATTTAAAAATGTAAAAGTTGAGAGCTTTGACAAAATGAAGTAGTCTCACTTTTTTAGACGATTACGCATACCGTAAGAAAATTCGATCTTTCCTTAATAAAACAGTGAAAACTCTTTTGCAAATCCTCTCGCCGTTTTCGAATAATAATTTGAAGATTACCCCTGCAAATTCAATTTTTGACATAAAAACTTGTATAGGATCTTCGAAAGGACAATGAACAACAAAAATGTAGTTCGCACAATTTTTTTAATTACAAATATGAGAAACATATCGTTGCATATAAGCACAGATATAATCTGTGATATAAGTAAATTAGAAAATCTTGCCACCAGAGGTCTCAGTCTGTTAAGGTGGCGTAAAGTCACTAGATATAGAAATTAGAAAGTACCGCAATCTCTCTTTCATAGTCTAAGACCGCAATCATCCGCCATTTTTGGGCAAATTTGCTGCCAACTTAAGAAAATTGACAAATAAAATCTGAATAGCTGTAATTTTTTATAACCTAACTTTATAATACTGTCATGTTTTATCTCTATATATAAAAATGAATCCCTGTTTCTTCTGGTCACGCAATAACTTTAGAACGTGCGGCAGCAATTGTTTTAACAGCTACATCGATCGGCATATATCCGTCAAACAATTAATTTGTATGCTGTCAATTCGATCGGAAAGTTTATCCAGATTTCAGTGAGTTTTTTGAGAAATGTCGATGTTATTTCACCGCAATCACGCCTTTTATATTAAAAGTTTGATGTACCTAATATCCATTTTTGGTAAGTGTTGATACATTAAACACGTGGTATACATAGTTATACAGAAACACTAGAGAGTTAATTTCTATTTTCAGTTGAATTTTAGTTTTTTCGAGATGCTACTAATTAGACGTACCAGCATGGTACTAACTTAGGTCGCAGAATTCGTAATCCTACAAGTCAAACATACCGGATGGTGCACGGTAAGTAGGAACATAGGGATTTAACATGGGAAATTAGTTTTATGCAATATCCTGCCCTCCTGTACATTTTACAGAAAAAACTGTAGAGTTTAAAGTTGTTCAGAATTAAAAGGTGCATACAAAACTGTTTTTTATTATACCTGAATCACAATCTCCGTTTTAAACACTCAAATGCGTGCGAAAAAGGGCCTTTAAAACACACGTGCTTTAAAGTTGCTAAGTAGCGATACTTCAAGATGACTTTTGAAACTGTCATCTGGATGAAATAAAAAATCCTCTTAAGTCGCTTTCTGTAAATGCAGAACATTTCTTTGGCTTTTGTACCTATCCTTTTGTTGAAGCTTTGACAAACGCGCGTAATTTAGGGTATGCTTCCAAATCTGGTCCACTTTTTAATCGCAGCATTGCTTTAGTTTTGAATGAATGCACCAAAATATAGAAGATTTAAATACCTTTGACATTTCCTTCATATATGCCAGCATTATTGATGCATTTAAGACTGTATTCGTAAGTAACTTCCTATTCATCCATGGAAACAACTTTTCATATTCTTTATAATAGGATTTACTGGAGTTGGATTTTACACCTACCAACGTTTGTTTAGATTTTACAACAATCGATTTAATGGGCGGTGTATTATCTTTTTCAACGGAAATCGTTTAATTCACAAAGACGATGATTTTTATAAGAAAACGTCAAGTGACATTTCCATGGCAATCGTGAAATTACGAACACCCAGCCCACTTAATTAGACATGTATTCGAGTATAACATCAATATGACTTCATTGTATTTCCTATTTTTAGATTATACTGCAGGTATAATAAACAATACTATAAGATACACGTGTATAATTAGTCTTTAAAGCACTTGCAACGTTAAAGGCACTCCGCTTTGCGTCGTGCCCTTAAACTCGTTGCGCGTGCTTTAAAGACTTGATTATACACTTGTATCTTAATATACTATTATGTCTTACTAACCTATCATAGCACATTTTATATCTGTGATACGCGGCATTAAGTATCACCATAGTAACTCATTCATATTTAATGACAAAACAAACAAATATTTGCAGGTAATTGAAAATTAGAAACGTCAATTATTAATTGTCAATACCTTACTAAATCACAAGATTGGCCTTATTTCGTATAGTTTCTGGAACTTCTTGCTCATTCACGATGAATTGAATTATTTAAAATTACGTTTGACGTTTGGATGGTTTCAATCATATTAACAAATTCGAACTACGCATACTTAATCAAACATTATGAATTATTTTGTAAAGGAATATTTACTTTGACGAAGAAAATTATTTGTAAAACATAAAATTTTGTATGTACCACGGGCATAAGCTGATGTTTATACTCTCAGGCGACTAAAAAGCTTTAACTTGTCGCCCTCGAGAATATAAACATCACTATTATGCCCTTAATACATAAATAACTATTACATGTTTGATTAAGCTTTTGGTATACCCACAAATTTAAAAATAAATTTCAACATTTCTGTTATTAGTAGCAATTCATAAAACAACAAAAGTCATGGCCCCTCCAAGGGAAGCACCTTGTCGTGGTGGGGGGGCTCAGTAACCACTGTTGCCAGCAGTGGTGAAGCTAAGCTATCCCAGGTCGTTTGTTTTTCTTTCTGTGGTGGTTATAGTACTGTACCTCGTGTTTCATGTATTTCAAAATCCCAGTAGCGTCGGTCTCATAGTGAGCGGCTACTGGGTCGGCGTCTGTTCTCCATGTTAGGGGCGGCCGGTAGATGTGCTGGCGGTAGCATAAAAACGCAACTGACATGGCTATGGATTCAGGTTTTTCGCGATCGAACATTACGGCGCAGGGGTTCGAATGGTCCCCAGTGCCGGTCGGGAAGGAGGCGGAACGGGCAGGCCTCACCCGACCGTTATCAAGCGACTGCTCGGCGCTGATAGTAGGTATCCTGGTGACGCAACGAAATCATGAAGGTAGTAGTGATTCGGCAGGGCTCCGTTGTTGTCACCGTTTCAGTTTTCCACCCTGCACAGCTGGCAGTAGCTATAAAATGCAAAAAAAGGTATGGAAAGTTTAAATAATCCAAACCACTCGGGCGGTGGGGTGTCTGGGCCGGACCCCCTTCGGAACCGTCAGGAAGCTCGGTCCAACGAGGAATTGGATGGTGGCTCCAATCCTCGTACTTGTGCCACCATAACTCTAGCAGATGATGAGGTTTTTCCCCCGATGCGGGAAAACACAACCAGAGAGACGGAGGAATCTGTGCCCCGGTTCCTGGTTGTAAAAAGGAAGGAAGGCGACTTCAATAACGTAAGTCCTTTCCTTATAAGTAAGTCTTTGTATGGATTATTGGGAGAAGTCAAAAATGTAAAGAAAGTGAAAGGTGAATTACTAATAGAAACCCGAACTAGCAAGCAATCTAAACAATTTTTGAAAGCGAAGCGACTTGGTGAATTCGAGGTGAAAGTAGAACCTCATATGGCTTTGAACACGTCAAAGGGAGTCGTGTATTGTAAGGACTTGTTAAATTGTACCATTGAAGAGATAATGGAAAATTTACAATCCCAGGGTGTCATTGGCGGTAGGCGTATAAGAACGAAACGCGACGGAGAGTTTCACGATACTCCTAACCACATTCTTACCTTCAACGTTCCGCGTTTACCTAAATCAATAATGGCCGCATTTTATACATTGCAAGTACGTCCTTACATACCTAACCCCTTAAGATGCTTCAACTGTCAGCGTTTTGGACACTCCGCCACAAACTGTAAACAGGAGAAGAGATGTGTGTGTGGAAAATCCCCGCACGAGGGTACTCTATGTGAAATTCCTGTGGAGTGCCCAAATTGTAAAGGACCCCATAAAGCAATTGCAAAATCCTGCGAAGTTTACAAGCAGGAAATGAAAATTCAGGAAGTAAAGATATTGCACAAGTTGTCGTACCCTGAGGCGAAGAAAAAGGTGGACACCCTAGTGGTGCCTAGCATGTCATTCGCGCAGATAACCGCTGCGTCACCTTCAAATCACTCTAATACTGTGCCTGAAATCAGAAAAATAATACAGGAAGAGATGAAAAGTTGCATGAAGGTACTTACCACCAAAATCGAACAACTTTCTCGACATGCATCTGGACTTCATAAATCAAAGCCTATCTCGCAAGTAAGCGAAACAAGTATTCAGTTCTTAGAGCCGACCACTGCATCGGAAGTTGAGACCATGGACGTGGAAACGCGAGGGTCAAAGCGTAGGATGTCATTAGCTAGGACAAGGTCCTCCAGCATCACCTCTGTCGATTCGCAGACAGTGCAGGAGGCCAAACAACAAAAGAAAAAGAAAGGTTGGCCAAAAGGCAAGCCCAGAATGCCTCGTAAAACGGCAGGTGATCCGCAAATTTTTAGTCAGTAAATTTAATCTGTGATTACATCTGTGATATGTTTTCTTGTCTTTGTCTATCATGTGAAACTGTTAATTGTTTGTAATAGTCCCATATACACTGTAATTTTTTATTTTATTTACATGTTAAATTATTCTACTGTGTTTGTTTCTACTTACTTTTAAAATGGATACAACAAAAATTATCCAATGGAACTGTCGGGGACTATCTAACAATTTCAACGAACTGAAACTCTTAATTCAAAAGTATACACCATTGTGTATTGCTCTTCAAGAGACGCGCCTGAAACCGAGATCAAAATACAATATAAAAAATTTCAGTCTGGTAAGGAAAGATTTTTACTCACCTGAAAGAGCCTGTGGAGGAGTGGCTTTTCTCATTAGAAAAGGCACACCATATAAAAGGGTTGAATTAAATACAACTTACCAAGCTGTAGCAGTACAATTTGAAATTGTTAAAACTTTTACACTTTGTAACATCTACGTTCCTAATACAGCATATGAAGTAGAACAAATTAGACAAATTATAAATCAGCTCCCAACACCCTTTGTTCTTGTCGGAGATTTCAATTCCCACAAAATTGTTTGGGGCTCTACCTCAAATGATGCCCGAGGCAAAGAGTTATTGGAACTCATAGAAAACGATAACTTAAGTATCTTGAATAACGGTTCGGCCACGTTTTTCAACGTGAGATCCGGAACATTCGACGCAATTGATCTTTCTATATGGTCTCCAAATATATACTGTAATTTTGAATGGGAGGTGGAAACTGATCTCCATCACAGCGATCATTTTCCCATAATCATTTCTGTTAGAGGCAAAAATCCCACGATAAGATCAGTGGCTAGATTTAAGATCCCACAAGCAGATTGGGAACTTTTTGCAAGTAAGTTCGTCCCTCCAGCCCTAGATAGCTTAAGTTTAAAAACTCTTACATCTGCTATATTAGACGCTGCGAACGCCAGTATTCCAAAATCCAAACCTGGCAATAAAGCAAAAATGGTTCCGTGGTGGTCGTCTGAAATAAAAGAAAAAATATCATTAAAAAATCAAGCCTTATATAGATTTAGACGTAATCCTACGTTGGACAATTTAATAATTTTTTTATTATACCTGAATCACAATCTCAGTTTTAAACACTCAAATGCGTGCGAAAAAGGGCCTTTAAAACACACGTGCTTTAAAGTTGCTAAGTAACGATACTTCAAGTATGACTTTTGAAACTGTCATCTGGATGAAATAAAAACTCCTCTTAGGTCGCTTTCTGTAAATGCAGAACATTTCTTTGGCTTTTGTACCTATCCTTTGGTTGAAGCTTTCACAAACGCGCATAATTTAGGGTATGCTTCCAAATCTGTTCTACTTTTTAATCGCAGCATTGTTCGAAGTTTTGAATGAATGCACCAAAAGATAGAAGATTTAAATACCTTTGACATTTCCTTCATATATGCCAGCATTATGGATGCATTTAAGACTGTATTTCGTAAGTAACTTCCTATTCATCCATGGAAACAACTTTTCATATTCTTTATAATAGGCTTTACTGGAGTTGGATTTTACACCTACCAACGTTTGTTTAGATTTTACAACAATCGATTTAATGGACGGTGTATTATCTTTTTCAACGGAAATCGTTTAATTCACAAAGACGATAATTTTTATAAGCAAACGTCAAGTGACATTTCCATGGCAATCGTGAAATTACGAACACCCAGCCCACTTAATTAAACATGTATTCGAGTATAACGTCAATATGATTTCATTGTATTTCCTATTTTTAAATTATACTGCAGGTATAATAAAAAATACTATAAGATACACGTGTATAATTGGTCTTTAAAGCACTTGCAACGTTAAAGGCACTCCGCTTTGCGTCGTGCCCTTAAACTCGTTGCGCGTGCTTTAAAGACTTGATTATACACTTGTATCTTAATATACTATTAAGAAACGTCGTTCGGAGTGTCGCCGAAAAATACTGGAAGCACAGAGGAGCTCCTGGAATCAATACGTGTCCACGATTACACCGGACACTACTAGCAAGGAAGTGTGGAAAAAGGTTGGAGCCGTATCAGGTAAAATTGGTTGCAATAGTCTGGCCTTCTTGCGAGATTCAGAGGGACAAATCACAAACAAACCAGAGGATATATCGGATATCATAGCAACCCAATTTTACCAAGTTAGTAGCTCCAAAAATTATGCGGATACATTTCTTCACACTAAACAACATAAAGAATCCAATCCTATTATTTTTGATACTAAGGAAAACTTAAATTATAATACTCCGTTTACCTTAGAAGAGTTGAATATCGCTATCCGTAACACCAAGTCATGTTCACCGGGAGAAGACGAAATCCACAACCAGATGTTTCATCACTGTACTCCTGAAATGCAACAAAGTATTAGATTTCTTTAATATTTGTTGGAATGAACATACTTACCCCTCGGAATGGAAACAGGCCGTTGTCATTCCTATACCGAAACCTGGAAAAGATCCGTTGCTGGCACAAAGTTATCGCCCAATTAGTTTAACGTCTTGCTTGGGAAAACTGCTAGAGAAAATGGTTAATGTGCGGCTGCAAACATTTCTTGAAGATAATAATATATACGTACCTTATCAAACGGGTTTTCGGAAGGGACGGGCAACGGCTGACCATTTGGTCAAATTGACCGATAGAATTCTGAGTGCATTTGACAGTGGTGAACACCTGCTTGCGGTTTTCTTTGATATAAAGGGCGCTTACGACATGACTTGGTGATATGGAATATTGCAGAATATGTATAAATACAATCTTCGAGGGAAGTTACCAAAATTTATACAATCCTTTCTAGAGAACAGAAAGTTTGTTGTAAGAATCGGTGACATCCACTCAAAAGAGTATGTTTTAGAAAATGGTGTGCCGCAGGGGTCAACACTTAGCTGTTCCCTGTTTGGCATCGCCATAAACGAAATAGCTAAAGGTGTTGAGGGGATGATTGATAAATGTTTGTATGTTGATGATTTAATGGTTTGTTGTTCTGGTAAGACGGTCGGTGCAATAACTCGAAGTCTACAAGTGGCCATAAACAAAATCTGTAGTAACGCCAATGCGGTCGGGTTTGTGCTGTCGGAGGAAAAGACAAAGGCTGTCCACTTTTGCCGACTCCGTAGACCGCACTATGATCCTGTGCTACTAATGAATGATCGTGTAATCAGTGTTGTTCAGGAAGTCAAGTTTCTCGGGCTTACCTTTGACCGGGAATTACGGTGGTCAAAGCATTTAAATAATGTTACTGCTACATGTAGAAAATCGCTGAACATCATGAGAGTTCTCGCTCATCATAGGTGGGGAGCTCACCATAAGACCCTACTGGATATATATAAGGCCCTCATCCTATCAAGGATGGATTATGGATGTGCAGCGTACTCTACGTGTGGCAATAATGCTTTACTTGGGGAACTTGATAAGATTCAGAACCTGGCTATTCGATATTCTTTGGGAGCATATCCAACAAGTCCAGTTCCATCGCTCTACGTCGAGGCAAATATTCCCCCTCTAGCTCTTCGCCGGAAACAGATTGTTGCAAACTACTATATAAAAGTAAGGTTAGATGATAAACATCCAAATTTTAGATCCCTTACTGATGCGACTACCATTGCTCGTCTATACAGATGTAGATCGTTAGGTGTTAGGGCTAGAGAGGTATTAAACCACCTCCAATTGGAGAATATTGACTTCACGAGTATGTCATCTACTGCACGGCGTGGACTCGTGAAAAGTAAAATCTATGAGCGGTGGAGTGAGCAGTGGTCGGAGTCTGATACGGCTTTGAAAAGGATCAAACCTAGTCTGGATCCGCTATTCTATATCGACGTTAGACGTTTGAACTTGATCAGGCTGTACAGACTCCGTCTGGGGCATACTGCTCTCACTCAGGGGTATTTGTTGGCAGGTGAAGAACGGCCATTATGCGAACAATGTGGTGTTAATTTAACACCACATCACATTATTTCTATTTGTCCGCAGTATATGAATGTACGTGTGATATTTAATATAAACCCGATATGGGAAAATAACTTCAAAAATGAAGAGCAATGTAAAAATACTCTCGCGTTCATCCAACAAATTGGCATTGCAAACCATCTGTGATATTTTTAAATTTTTGTCTTTATGTATATTTGTGTAGTAAATAAGTAAATGTAATCACGCCTGTCTTGTGTTGTGTGTTCAGAAACTGTGATATTATAGTACCTTAGTGTAAGTAAAAAAAAAAAAAGTCATGGCTATTGCTACTAAAAACAGTTTTGTATGCACCTTTTAATTCTGAACAACTTTAAAGTCTACAATTTTTTTCTGTAAAATGTACAGGAGGGCAGGATATTGCATAAAACTAATTTCCCATGTTAAATCCCCATGTTCCTACTTACCGTGCACCCCCCGGTATATACGAGTACGTCAAACTGACGAGCAGCAATGTCCCCTTTAATCCCTATCGAGCTGCATTTAATTCTCACGTAACAATCGATTACAGTTTACAGTAAATCGTTGCTATTAGACCAATGAACTTTGTCTGTCCACATTGCAAGGCTTTTAAGTTAAAAACTGAAGCCCCGGGATTATGTTGCGCCAGTGGCCAAGCGAATACACTACATAGAAGTGCGTTTATTTTTTATTATTCTGGGGAGAGATGGGGAGATTTTGGGGAAAGTGTGTAAAAATCTCTTTTCCGGCTAAACGGTTGAACCGATTGGAACCGAATTTGGTACACATATTCTTAGACATAAAAGGGCAGAATCGTGCATGCGCAGGTGGGGCGGGTGTTACCTGCGCTAGGCACAGTAAATTTCTTGAAATAATTTTTTGTTATTATTTATTCCAGTTCAAATTGATTAGGTATGCATAGCTAGGAAAGCGGACAACGTCCGTCGGGTCAGCTAGTAAAAATATATATAGATATCTCCTGGTGGAACAATCCCTAACATTAAAGTTACTAGAATCTGGTAACTTCCGCCATTTTTGGGCAAAAATCATGCGTTCTCTCTCTAACACACGAGCCCAATGGATTGCGGTATTTTCTATATTTAGTGACTTTAAGGTGGCGTTTACATTGAAAGAGTGGAAATTTGTTTCCACAATAACTTCCTTTTTGGTATATAGTTTTGGTTGAAATAACATTCATTCAAATATATAATCTTCCGACATTTGCATGAAACAAAAATTATTTAGCTAATTCCTGCATTTTCGCCGTTATTTAAGAAAGAAGTTCTTAAAAACCTACCATATAAAATATATATTTTCATTTTTATCACACACTGATAAAAAAATCAAATCAAATTTAACTTCATTCACAAGCTTAAACCCTCAGCATCCATCGGTCGTTAACAGAAATTTATTTTTTTACCTCGAAACAAAGTTATTAGGAAATCACAACGCAACTTTTGCACTTTTTGTAAACGCCACCTTAATCTGAATCGAAAATTGGATGAACAACTTCCATAGACCTCCAGAATTTTTATTTTGGTTAACTTGACTTTTGTTGCTTTAAGAAGTAAGTTTAGTTGATTTCTGTATGTTACAAATCCATATCCATAGTCCAAATCTATAAATGGTCGACATTGCTCTACATATAGTACGTCACGGTTCTTAAATTTAACTAAAACCCTTTAGTTATTCACGAATAGCCACGAATCATTATTCAGATCACGTTTTAAATACTTATAGGTATAATGTATTACCGGAAAAAATAAATTTTTACGGTTAGCAATCAATTTTGAGTTGGCAACAAATTCCTCATGCATTTTCACGTTAATTATGTTTGCATACTGATCCGTAATTCTAATTCTTAACACGAAAGATTCATAATGAAGTACCTAATCGATGTTGTATGTACATATAAATATAGTCAAGACATGACAATCTTAGATCTTCTATAGTGGTTGATGGTTGACATATTGTTATGCTCTGAATGTCCAAGTAGTTTAAAGCATTAATTTCGTCGCGCAAGATATCTAGGTTCAGGCAAAGAGTAAAATAATTGTATTCTTGGGTTCAGGTCCCCTACTAGCGAGTAAAAATCCGCTTTTTGTTTAATATCATTAATGTATTTGTTAAATCCGAATGGAAACAGTTCCGTTGCGGTAGACGGAGGTCTATGCATTGCAATAGCATAAGATAACATATGTTGTCTGTGGTTTTATCTAAAATTTCAATAGTAACTTGACACACTTGCACGTTCTTAAGTAAACAATATTACTCCATCATTTTTCTAAATTTGGCCTTGACATTTCGTTATATTTTAATTCAGTGAAGTTGATGTGTTGCTTGAGTTCGGACGAGAGTGAACGATTGGGAAGTTCTGCAACAGGAAACATTAGCGACCACAATTACGTGCAGTGGGAATTCCGGAGCGCAAGCTGGAATGCGTTCAGAATGGGCACCGAAAGGTTGCGAGAAATTATAGCGGAAATCCAGCTCGAAGATCTGGAGCACATGGATGATACCTATAGGTACATTCCCGAATCGGTTAATCAGGGGTTGATACCGATCCTATCGGCCAATGTGCGTCTTTGATTCGGTAATGAAACTTTTTCGAGAGAATAATAAACAAGTATAAATTGTGCACCACGTCTCAATCGCCGTTTGTGAGTACCCTCTTCCGACAATCCGTTCTTGAGGTGTAAGGGAAGAGACCTTATCTAGGCACCACTAAAGTATGCAAAATCTTAGACCAATTGGTTGTCGCATGTAAAAGTTATGCACGGTTTACTTTCAAAAGCAGCATATCAGGAAATAATTCGTGGGGAGGCCCCCCTTTTGGACAGCAAAATTTCATGGCCGTCTGGCACACCTTCAAGGTTTCTGCACCAGTCCATGGCGGACACTGGGGTGGCTGAAACTATTGGACGCACATCACGAAACTGAGTGTGCCGGAGTGGGTTGGACGCAGGTCTGGGGAGGTAAAATATCTGCTTAGCCACTTTCTCACGAGACACGGTAGACTGGGTACTTACCTTCACAAAGTAACTGAAGAGGGAATGACCTCTACCTCGACTTTTGCATGAGCATCCCTTTTTCAAGTGAATGAGATGGAGTCACCACGAGAGAAGTACTTGGGGCGGCCGCAGAAGGGGTCGGTTTAACGACACAGAATATTATCAGGGTGATGTGCAGGGTAGATGGTAGCGGTATAAAGCACAGGGACATTTTGACCTTCACTGTTATTGGTTAAAACATGAGTCAGTATTACCCTGAAAAGAAACGAGTGACGAATTCTGTCATTAGCTGTCAATTTCAAAGAGGGTGCGTGATATCGTTTGACTTATATTTTTCAAATTTTGTGCCGTTTTATATTTTTCCTGTGAGGGTGAGGGTGTGTGTGTGTGTGTCTTCAAACACAGCGTGATCTACTACCTTCTTATAATGAATGCAGCATAGTAAGTAATTGGTGATCCTGGCTTCGTTTGTTTTGCCATAAAAATGTTATAAATCTGACTTTTTGAGTTGGGGTGCTGTCAAACATTTTTTACATACATTTAATTAACATAAGTTTTTACTGCAATACAGCTGTGTACAATACAACCATGTAACATTTATAAGAAATACAGTTGTTAAAACAATTATTTATTAACGTCAATACAAAATTACAACGTGTACTAGTACAATAAAATATTCTTGAACTGCCTCGTTTAAAACAATCCCTCCTCTATACAGTGTATTCCAAATGCATTCAGAACTATTGCTAACTTACCTACTTCGATTGGAGTATCGGATTATCGAGATATTCAACAAATTAACATTTATGTAAATCAAACATGTATATTTTTACATATTTTTCTTTTAGGCATTTAGCAGAGCATAGTTTTCAATTTTTCATTTTTCGTGGTGAACTATTGTCCCTTAGAAAGTTTCATATTTCAAAATTGACAATATGACGTAGAGATACTCATCATTTATTAATATCCACAGATCAACTATCACAGCAGGTTCAATTTGTTTCAAAACACCAGGAAATTGTGATAAAAATAATCGAACGTCCATAATCTTTTGATCTGTAGATATTAAAATCATGAATCTCTGCGTCACGTATATTTTGAAATATGTAACTTTCTAAGGGACACTAGTTTTTCATGAAAAACTGAAAATGATCAGCCTGAAAGATGGATCACTTTGTGATGACTGTTTGACCGATCGATCATCGAAGAACTGTTTACTTACTACTTTTATTTTTATTTCATGCATTTCAGTTCATAACTAACGGAGAGAGCCTTCCTTATTTTTGGACCTACATTACCAATTCACGAACTCCGATCTCCAAATTTTACAAAGAATCCACCTGCAAACTTTAATCGTAATCTGTTCATCCGTTCTCTTTTAAATTGATGGACATAAAGCCATCGAGCGTGCGATCGGACGATTGGGAGAAAGCATAACAGTCTCGTTTAAAACTCGACGCTAAAAATCCTTTTTTGTATCGGTACAAAGAACCTAAAAAAAGCAAACTATCGTAGCTATAAGCTGTGCCTTAAAATTAATTTTTTTACATTGCATGTTTAATGCTTTGACCCCTGCGATTAATTAATTGTTGTTTTTTTATCCTCAGTTTTATTTTATTTCAACATATGAAAAACATAGTGTCCGTTAAAAAATGATATTTTGCTGAATATGCCCCTAGTTTTATGTTCAAAATTTGACCATCGCAATCCTAAGAAAAAATACGTTATATTTGGTTATATAACGGACAGTATCTTCAATAATAAGGAAGTTAGCAATAATTCCGATTCTAGATGCAATACACAGTAGGTGATATATCATTCCAATTACTACTATTTCAACAATTACCTACTATTGATAATGTAACACATTCTGTAGATACCTACATCTATTCTTTTAATAACACAGAATGGGTTTTTGCACAAAAGGGTTCTTAATTTGCCACTTAAGTTACATAGCACGTCCAAAAGTTTGTTTTGTTTTAAAATGTACCTACTGCGTAACATCATCATGTATCTACGAGTATTATTGATTATATATGCTATATATGTTCGGTTTAGTTCGATGATTCAGAAGATGTGAGCAATATTACTTACCTACCCTATACAGTGTGTCTATATAAGAATGAACAGCATCAGGAAATCAGAAACCATAGAGATACACAGTCGGTTAAATTAGGAAAAAGTTGTGTACTTCAGGGCTTAGTAAAATCATGTTTTAAAAATTCGAAAATTCCGATCAGTACCGAAAATATTTTAAAAACAAAACCAAAATTAACCATATTCATTTTTATTTTTTTCTGACCCTGTTGGTACGACACACCTTGTATATTCAGGAAAATGCACAAATATCAATTGATAAATATTTGGCATTATCGCTGTACGGAGAATCATACCACGCAGATCTCGTACCTACCTCGTTATACGTTTCCTTTTACAAATCGGTCACCGTTCAGGCTAGTCGCCTTTCAATCAAGCTTTATTAAATTTAAATGTAATAAATAGTGTTAGCTGTGTACAAGTGAGGCAAGCTAATAATCCTTGAGGACGTTGAGGTCGTTTCGGCATTATCTGATGGTACCAGTTCACCGATTCACGGAGATAAACTGCCGACTACTCCGTAGCCGTAAAGGGTCGCTCCCATACGGCACTCTCCATTTTGACGCGTCCAATCACCAGGTGTGCACACCGTCATACCGCATCAAAGAAACGAATACCAACCTATCCACGATTACGAAAGAATTTTATCAACGATCTTCGATGACCATTACACCTTTGATTAGCCTCAGCGTCCTAGTATACCTTTTGTAATTTAGTAACTCCATGGAGTATAACCCATATTTATCTGTTAGGTTAACCTTATATAAATAAATTTTCATTAACTATTTTTCATCAATTTTGTGTACAAGTGAAGCTTGGTTGTTGGCCAATTCTCTCTTTTCCAAATTTACGGTCCCGGACTGATGTTCCCTCGGGCTCATTGGTTTACGGTACACTGTTTGAACACATATCAAGAAACAACTAACGCTTTCATAGGAACTTTGTAAGCTCTACAAGATATTTCTCACAGATTTTCACTGCGACTGCAACCCTGCAACCATCATCAACTTCATATTTGTGTATGATCTGGAAAAAGTACATACTGTATTGAGTAGCATTTTTTATTACTAATATACAACGATGGCACAAGATGATTCTTTATTATGTCATGTAAACGAACCATGAATGAATTATTTGGAGATTTTGTGAACGGTTACTACACCAAAATTTTAAAAATGGTTTACCATTTACGTCAGAAAAATAGCTTGTTATTACATTTTGGTGTATCTAGTAGGCGAAAAATGTCAAAACAATTGATTGATGGTTCCTGTAAACCACATACCTAATAAAGAATCATATTGTCATCATTGTATTCGTAATAAAAAATTCTACTCAATATAGTATGTACTTTTTCCCCGGTCCATATAAAAGTATGAAGTTCATGTGTATCTCTTATGGTTTCCAATTCTCCCATGCTGTTATCTTATCTTGGCTACACTGTATGTACATAAACAACAACCAAATCCTTACTAACACAAATTTTTGGACGAGTTTTAACTCTATCAAATTGGAATATACCTACCTATTGTAGCCAGCGATTACATGGAGCTATTTAAACATGATCTACCTAATACTAAAAATCACATTTTGGTAGTTGGTACTACTTGCTGAATAATATCTTATATAAAATTTTAAGTGTAGCGACATTCCTCTGTATCAAATTCTGTATAATAAAGGTACTCAAACTGTATAAAAATTGTGAAAGTCAAAATTACAATTTACGTATAAATATAAAAACCCAATTTTAGTCCTTAAAATTAAATTAGGTAACACATTCAGAGACCTACTGTTGTACGCCTGAGAAACCAGCTTATTCAGATTAAGTGCTCTGATCGGCCATGGTGAATTTTAGATAACGATTCCCTGTAAAATAAAACAAAGAATTAACAATTTCGTTATTTCGGATTATGTTTAAAATATGATGTGATGTTTGTTGTTCAAAATGAGTGCGGTGGTTGAATAAACGAGTCAACGAATTCGACAATTACACAAACCTCAAACACTATATGGACATTATTAATAAATATTACAGCAATGTGGAATTATGAACACTTTTTCGTCTCAATTCCCGGTATGGAATGTAGATATGTTAAAATTTTTCTGATTCTCCATATTCTCTTTTTTCACAAACATTCCATAGTTGCGGTTATTAGAAACTGCGAAGATCTACCAGCGTAAAAATCGGGAAAATCAGTTTTATCAAGGATTTTCCAAATTCTAACACTGTTGGATTGTTGGAAATTATGCAATATTTAACTAACGTGCACTATATGCACACGTATTTAGGGAACAATGCAAAAGACAACTACAATGTCGATGTTTTATTCATTTCAGTCTGGTAGGGTTTCAGTTACTAACCCCCATCCCATCCTAAGTTAAAACTTCCAGTGTGTCACGTACAAAAATTGAAATGTATTGATCGCGCATATCAGCATTACTGACATTTCATTGATGAGATATATGTCTCTATTTCCAAATATAAAACATGTTTTTATCAGTCAAAAGTGATATTTAATAAATCACGGACGCAGCCTCTAAGCGAAATAGGCGCCCGTAATTTTTATTAAATTGAATTTTGTACGCTTTTTCATTGTTATGTTCAACTTTGTTGGGCTGCAAAAACACTTTTCCCGAACTTCAGTTACGAAAATTTATTCATGTCGTGTTCATTGCAAATTTATACCCATTTTTATCTTTAACCTTTCTGAGAATAATAAATTTTTGACGATCGCACGGTAATTTGTAAACCTAATTTCTCATGTGGGTAATGTCGGGAAAGCCATGAACACGTATCTTAAATTATCGAAAAAACGTGATGGATATTTTGGATAATACTTATTCCACACGCTGTAGACGTATTTAGTAAAACCCAAATCTTACTATATGAACAGCATTCTGCTTCAGACACATTTTAAATGTAATTTATATCCCCTTTCATATAGTTATGAAAAATTGGTTTACACCTGATATACCGGAAGAATATTAAAATGCTAAATGTACCGCAATTAAAGCAGAAGTCTGTTCTTAAATGGTTAAGATAATGTGACCTACCGGTACGAACGGTACTGATCACGGTACACGATATCCTGGTACTGATGTATCCGCTACACATAGTTATTTACATAAAACTGGCGAGGAAATATTGAAGTACGAGGCCGCTTTGGCACCGAGTAGTTCAATTTCCGAGTGAAGTAATGTCCTTTACTGACGACTGTTGTATTAAATTTCATTTTATAGCGTATGTTAAAATGAGATTTTAATAATTTTGGATGAGTAGGCCAAGCCGTCCTTTAACCGTAAGGGTAGATAAAGTGCGATCGAACATTCTTATTTCAAATGCACGATATAAAATGACGTTCAGAACATAATGACAATTCTGTTTCTATGGAAACGATCGCGACGGCAGAACCTAAGCCTGCTATTTTTGACGTCTCTAAATTAAATTTAGGATTATCAGAAGCTTTCCAATAATTTTTATGGCACCTGCAGTCCTATAAAATGAAGTTTTGTATTATACACGACGATAAATGGAAACTAATCATCTCGTGGTCTCAATGGTTAAAATATCCCTTTATCGTCTTGTATAATAAATAAATATTACCCGAAATTGTATTTTAATATAAAATTTCAAGTTTCATATATAACTGTTGATTAATGTTAATCTGTCAGTCATTTTAGACATTTAGCAATGTGACAGGTGCGGCTACAAAAGTAAAAGGTGCGGTCGGTAAAGTGACAGGCGGCAGGAAAAGTATTCTGGTCTGCCGCTGTCATGGAAACTAAAATTTCCTGACATACAGTGAGCATGAAAATGACGGTTTCATGACGATTTGGGCGTAATTTATTTCAAGCACCGAGCCGTTTTGGCGCCTTTTTTTTATTATAGCGCTCTTTCTCTAGCCGAAGCTAACTCGAGGACTTCTAGTTCTGGGTAAAAAGATTGAGCAAAATATAAGTATTTGCAGATTGATTTCGACCTCCTCTTTCAAAAACTAAACTTATTTGATTCCCCTCCATCATTTTGAAAATTTAGACCTCAATCAATTAGTACTCCTCGACCTAAACCTTCTCAATTTACACGTGCCATTAACTATACTCACCACATACACCTAAATGCTTGAAATTAAAAGAACATGATCATTTCTCTTTAAAATGAGTACACAAAATCGCAGAAGATACCTACATTTTTATGGTTGCAGTAAACTTCCTGCTCCACTTGTCCACCGAAACTAATTTTGGAGTCTCTCTGTCCGGGCAGATGACTTTTTTTGCTCTCTAATCTTAGAACCCCATTTATCTTGAGGAGTTTGAAGTTTTATCTTCGCAAAAGATTAACGTGATCATAAACTTAAAAAATAAGTAGGATTTTCTTTAGTCATCAATTCTGTTTTTGGGGAATGATTTTAAATCACTATAAACATTGGAATTACGTGTTTATGGTATAGACTGATCAATATATTTCACAAAATATAATTTAAAAAAACAAGGCAATGTACGAAACCCGTTAGCGATGTTGGTGGTTTCACACAATGGGCGATTCAGAACTCCCTCTACGACATGATTCAACGCAGTAAGTTAATACGCACGTTGAATGGTTTAATGTAGATAGGCGTTTATGTCACGTTCAAAGATTATGGTTTAACAATAAGTGCGTCCATCTGCATTAACGAAAGTTTGACACCACTACGACGTCAATTGCTAGCGAAAACGCGAGCTTTTAAGAGGGAAGAAAATTACAAATTTCTGTGGACAAGAAACGGAAATATATACATAAGGAAGAACCAGACGAGCCTGGTGCGTGGACTAAAATCCGTAGCGGAATTAATCTCTTTGAAGGAAACATATGCTACTACCATTCATTCCTAATAATTGTACATGATTTTTTTTTATCTTACTTATTGTAATAGCAGAGATATTTTTATTTTATTATTGTTTTTATGAGCTAAAATGAATTAATTTTTATTTACTACCAAAATGTGAGAAGTGTAAGAACAAAATGCAAGGACATTTATTTAAATTTATTGGGTAATGATTATGATATTGTTATATTTACGGAATCTGGATTAAATAGTACTTTCAAAGATTCAGAATTATTTGATAGTAGGTACAATGTATTCACTAAAGATAGACCTGACAATGAACGTTTCTGGAGTCTTAATTGCAATAAAAAAATCGTATAATGCCTCGATTGTAGAATTTGATAATGATCATGGACGTGTCTGTCTGAAATTAAAAAAATTTTCACTACAATTTCTCCTTTTTGTGATATATTTCGTTCCTGGGTCAAATAGTAATTACTATTTATCTTTTTATAATAGTTTAGATAAGGCGAAGGAAATGTATGATTGTAATCTTATTATTGTAGGTGATTTCAGATTTACAGAAACCATCTAAAACTGTTAAACATTTGGAAAATTTTAAATCCGCGTATAATTTGACGTCCTTTAATACCGTAACAAACGTTTTAAATCGTACATTAGATTTAGTGCTGTCATCTTTAGATAATCTAGAGGTAACAAAAGAATCACATATTAGTATAGAAGATAAGCATCATCCACCTTTATTAATAACGATTCACTTACCATTCACGAAATATCTTCAAGGCCTTTATCACAATCACTCATGTGAAAGGGACATTGAGTTTAATTTTAAAGCAGCAGTTTTTTTAAAACTTTACTATTGCTTGAAGTTCAAGTTGACTACAAATTTCGATTCTTTAAATCGCTATGCGGATCCTGATGTAGCAGTCAATGAGTCTTATGATATTTTATACGCAATTATCCATTCCTGTGCCTAGCAAAGACAATAGCTATCCTTGTTGGTTTAACAATAAAATAATTCGCGATATAGGTGAGAAACATTCAGTTTACAAACAAGTACCTCCGACTTACAAAATTGAACCAAACCATACCAAAGTAACTGTTTCGGAACCATTGTGTATAACAGAGATAAATGAGATAGAAATCGGTGAAGAAATTGATGAATTAAAGTCCAAGAAATGCTCAGGACCTGATGGTATTCCTGCGTATGTTTTAAAAGGTTGCAAAGATATATTTGTTTCAGTATTTAAAATTGTTATATAATATTTCAATTAAAGCTAACAAATTTCCTTCTAAATGGAAATCAACAAAAGTATACCCACTTCATAAATCTAGGTCCAAAAACAAACATTACAAACTATAGACCAATAGCTGTCTTATCGGCACCTGCCAAAATATTTGAAAAAGTGTTGCAAAAACGCATACACAATCATGTCAAAACATATATATCCGATAAACAGCATGGATTTATGAAAGGTAGGAGCACTGTAACAAATTTAGTTGAATTCTCACAAGACGTATCGACAGCCTTAGAAAAAGCAGTTCAATATGATGTCATATACACTGACTTTTCGAAAGCTTACGACAGCGCCACGATATTCTATTAAATAAATAAAAATAAATTTGGTTTTTCCGACCGCCTGCTAAAGTTCTTTATATCATATCTTGCTGAGCGTACACAATGGGTTATATTTCGTTCCTGCACATCTCATACGTTTAATGTTTCTTCAGGAGTACCACAAGGATCCAATCTTGGCCCTCTCCTTTTTCTGTTACTCACTAATGACTTACCTGACGTTGTAACATTTAGTGATCCTTTACTTTTTGCTGATGATTTCAAATTGAGTCATCCAATACGGTCATTGTCCGACTGTTTGAAGCTGCAATATGATCTAGATGCAGTGATGGAGTGGTGTAAGGAAAATGATTTGCATTTCAATATTAAAAAGTGCAAATCGTTGAGGTTCTCGCGAAAAAGAGAGGATGCAGTATTTCATTACGAGTTGGCAGGTCAAACTTTGGAAAGTGTAGATTACCAAGGCG